ATTCTCCATCGATGTACGGACCCCACGTCTCAAAAACCTCCAGGAACCTGAACGGGTTCACAATCTTGGAGCCTGGGATCAAAAAGAAGTCAGTAAGATTTAAATTAAGAGATTCTAAGAATTGTTTCATATTCTAGGCGTGAGTATATGATTGTTTCTAATAATAAAACAAATAAGTTCTTTGTATTTCGTGTTGCTTATATTGCACATTTTGAACCAGATTCATAACACTTTTGTTTTGTATACATCGTATTTTTTCCTATTTCTTGTGAGTATAAAATATTTAATTCATTCCTAATTTCTTTTAATTGTATGGTAAGATTTGAATTTAGATATTGGTTATGTTTTGTCTCAAGTTCTTTTAGCTCTCTGTTCAGTTCTGTTCATCTTAGCTGTCTTTATTTATTTTTACTAAGCTATCGTTTTCCCTCGAGCAACAGAAAAGAAAAAAGACAGTTAAAGGTGGGGTAGGTAATTTTGGAGAAAGCAGCTCGAGTGAGCTAGAATTTGAAAATACACAGCCGTAACAAATCTGCCACTTCCTCACAGAGCCCCTCCTCCAACACACACGAACGCGCACATGACCAATGAGGGCACGAGATAAGTTTGTGCCCAGATGGAAAGCTGACAGGCAGGTAGGCCATCCAGTTACTTTAGCCGGCTCAGATGATTGGTCGTGCTTTTTACAGCGCCACGGCTTCCACAGATGACGGTTTTTTATGGATTTTGTGTCAAAGCATTTCATATATTCATTGCTATCGGGATGTTAAGAGCATTCCATGGAATATAACAAAAAGTGCTTCTGAAATAAATGACATACCCCACCTTTAATACAATAAGGCCGAAAACAAGAAGCCAGTTTTTATCCAGGATAGAGAATATTGTCTGTACATTTTACATTCAATTTAATATGTAATATTCCATTCCTCACACACTTAATTTTGAATTAATATCCTGCTTTATATGTGGTTACTGTGCATTTGTGTTTCCACATGTATATTTTCTACTTTTGTTTTAATGCTATTTCATTTCTATTTGAGATATTTACATTTTGGAATGTTTATTTTTTATCTTTTAAATTTGACTTATGTACAAAGCCTCGTCTTTTTATGCTGCAACACAAACATTTCCCAAATTCGGATAAATAAAGTACTAATATAGTTTTCCTTCATCTCTTGCATAGAAGACAAGGCAAGGCACCTTTCAACGCAAGGCAATTCAAAGTGCTTTACAAGATGAAAGACATTAAGAGCATAAAACACATTAAACATTAAAAGCATAGATAATAAAACATTAATAAAACATGAATAGAAGTTACAGTGCAGTCTAAGATATAAATAGCTCAATTAAAAGCAGCGGAAAGAAGAAAAGTCTTCAGCCTGGATTTAAAAGTGGTCAGAGTTGCAGCGGACCTGCAAGTTTCTGGGAGTTGGTTCCAGACCTTTGGAGCATAATAACGGCGAGAGACAGAAATCAGGCCTCCTTATGTAAGTGTGTGGGCTGCCCTCGGATCTAAATGTGAAGCGTAGGCAGGGTGTATTTTTGTGGCGCCCTACTTGTTTTCATCTGTGCAGCGAGGACTTCCTGTGGACTGAGAGACAGCAGGCACACGATGTCGCTCACTGAGCAGTTCGTCTGTTTAGCAAAGTCCTTCCCCAGCTTCAGGGCGTCACGTCTGGGGAAAAGAGGCAGCAATAGTTTGTTATGGCAATTATGGTATTAAAGCTTAATGCAGTGAAATCATAATGAAATGTAACTTCTAACAAAGTAGTATCCTTTCAAGTGTTTTCAATCCTTATGTCTGAGAAGAACATTTGGTTTGTGTTCACGAGGATAAGATAAAGGGTTTTATGGCATTACAGGAAAGACAGGGGGAGAGGAAGACATTTCTTAACCCAACTGTTATAGGGTGTGAGTTTTGCTTATTGTGATAGGGCGACAACTGGGCCCAAATGTTGTTGTGTTGTCATGTAAATGTACAGTTTCCCTATAAGAGAGTCTGACTGTCACACACTCATCATGCTTGCAAGATCTTAAAATACTTTATATCGATATTGTGTTTCTTTGCATATTTGCCTAACTCATCATTTTCTCTAGACAGCAGCTGAAGTTGCTACGACAAGTCATTGATGAGCTTGAAGTTGTTTGAAACACATGGAAACCTAAGAAAAGCTCTCATGGTTCCTCACCTGGTCTTCAGAGGGATGGAGAAGGGCAGGCTCTGCAGGACGGCCTGTTTGAACAGAGTCTTGCTGCTTTGGATCATCAGGTGGAGGCTGACGGACTGAGCGCCTGCACTCTCCCCAAATATGGTCACCTGACAAAAGTACACCACACAGAGACAAGTAGTGTGTTTTATAGGTTGTTGGTCTGCAAACGCTAAATACACTACATACTGATATACACCTGAACATCAGCAGGAGAGGACTCTTTAAAGTAGAGACACTACATACTGATATACACCTGAACATCAGCAGGAGAGGACTCTTTAAAGTAGAGACAACTACATACTGATATACACCTGAACATCAGCAGGAGAGGACTCTTTAAAGTAGAGACACTACATACTGATATACACCTGAACATCAGCAGGAGAGGACTCTTTAAAGTAGAGACACTACATACTGATATACACCTGAACATCAGCAGGAGAGGACTCTTTAAAGTAGAGACACTACATACTGATATACACCTGAACATCAGCAGGAGAGGACTCTTTAAAGTAGAGACACTACATACTGATATACACCTGAACATCAGCAGGAGAGGACTCTTTAAAGTAGAGACACTACATACTGATATACACCTGAACATCAGCAGGAGAGGACTCTTTAAAAGTAGAGACACTACATACTGATATACACCTGAACATCAGCAGGAGAGGACTCTTTAAAAGTAGAGACACTACATACTGATATACACCTGAACATCAGCAGGAGAGGACTCTTTAAAGTAGAGACTCTACATACTGATATACACCTGAACATCAGCAGAGAGGACTCTTTAAAGTAGAGACTCTACAATACTGATATACACCTGAACATCAGCAGGAGAGGACTCTTTAAAGTAGAGACACATACTGATATACACCTGAACATCAGCAGGAGAGGACTCTTTAAAAGTAGAGACACTACATATTGATATACACCTGAACATCAGCTGGAGAGGACTCTTTAAAGTAGAGACACATACTGATATACACCTGAACATCAGCAGGAGAGGACTCTTTAAAGTAGAGACACTACATACTGATATACACCTGAACATCAGCAGGAGAGGACTCTTTAAAGTAGAGACACTACATACTGATATACACCTGAACATCAGCAGGGAGGACTCTTAAAGTAGAGACACTACATACTGATATACACCTGAACATCAGCAGGAGAGGACTCTTAAAGTAGAGACAACTACATACTGATATACACCTGAACAACAGCAGGAGAGGACTCTTTAAAGTAGAGACACTACATACTGATATACACCTGAACATCAGCAGGAGAGGACTCTTTAAAGTAGAGACACTACATACTGATATACACCTGAACATCAGCAGGAGAGGACTCTTTAAAGTAGAGACACTACATACTGATATACACCTGAACATCAGCAGGAGAGGACTCTTTAAAGTAGAGACACTACATACTGATATACACCTGAACATCAGCAGGAGAGGACTCTTTAAAGTAGAGACACTACATACTGATATACACCTGAACATCAGCAGGAGAGGACTCTTTAAAGTAGAGACACTACATACTGATATACACCTGAACATCAGCAGGAGAGGACTCTTTAAAGTAGAGACACTACATACTGATATACACCTGAACATCAGCAGGAGAGGACTCTTTAAAGTAGAGACACTACATACTGATATACACCTGAACATCAGCAGGAGAGGACTCTTTAAAGTAGAGACACTACATACTGATATACACCTGAATATCAGCAGGAGAGGACTCTTTAAAGTAGAGACTCTACATACTGATATACACCTGAACATCAGCAGGAGAGGACTCTTTAAAGTAGAGACTCTACATACTGATATACACCTGAACATCAGCAGGAGAGGACTCTTTAAAGTAGAGACACATACTGATATACACCTGAACATCAGCAGGAGAGGACTCTTTAAAGTAGAGACACTACATATTGATATACACCTGAACATCAGCTGGAGAGGACTCTTTAAAGTAGAGACACATACTGATATACACCTGAACATCAGCAGGAGAGGACTCTTTAAAGTAGAGACACTACATACTGATATACACCTGAACATCAGCAGGAGAGGACTCTTTAAAGTAGAGACACTACATACTGATATACACCTGAACATCAGCAGGGGAGGACTCTTTAAAGTAGAGACACTACATACTGATATACACCTGAACATCAGCAGGAGAGGACTCTTTAAAGTAGAGACACTACATACTGATATACACCTGAACATCAGCAGGAGAGGACTCTTTAAAGTAGAGACACTACATACTGATATACACCTGAACATCAGCAGGAGAGGACTCTTTAAAGTAGAGACACTACATACTGATATACACCTGAACATCAGCAGGAGAGGACTCTTTAAAGTAGAGACACTACATACTGATATACACCTGAACATCAGCAGGAGAGGACTCTTTAAAGTAGAGACACTACATACTGATATACACCTGAACATCAGCAGGAGAGGACTCTTTAAAGTAGAGACACTACATACTGATATACACCTGAACATCAGCAGGAGAGGACTCTTTAAAGTAGAGACACTACATACTGATATACACCTGAACATCAGCAGGAGAGGACTCTTTAAAGTAGAGACACTACATACTGATATACACCTGAACATCAGCAGGAGAGGACTCTTTAAAGTAGAGACACTACATACTGATATACACCTGAACATCAGCAGGAGAGGACTCTTTAAAGTAGAGACACTACATACTGATATACACCTGAACATCAGCAGGAGAGGACTCTTTAAAGTAGAGACACTACATACTGATATACACCTGAATATCAGCAGGAGAGGACTCTTTAAAGTAGAGACTCTACATACTGATATACACCTGAACATCAGCAGGAGAGGACTCTTTAAAGTAGAGACTCTACATACTGATATACACCTGAACATCAGCAGGAGAGGACTCTTTAAAGTAGAGACACATACTGATATACACCTGAACATCAGCAGAGAGGACTCTTTAAAGTAGAGACACTACATATTGATATACACCTGAACATCAGCTGGAGAGGACTCTTTAAAGTAGAGACACATACTGATATACACCTGAACATCAGCAGGAGAGGACTCTTTAAAGTAGAGACACTACATACTGATATACACCTGAACATCAGCAGGAGAGGACTCTTTAAAGTAGAGACACTACATACTGATATACACCTGAACATCAGCAGGGGAGGACTCTTTAAAGTAGAGACACTACATACTGATATACACCTGAACATCAGCAGGAGAGGACTCTTTAAAGTAGAGACACTACATACTGATATACACCTGAACATCAGCAGGAGAGGACTCTTTAAAGTAGAGACACTACATACTGATATACACCTGAACATCAGCAGGAGAGGACTCTTTAAAGTAGAGACATTACATACTGATATACACCTGAACATCAGCTGGAGAGGACTCTTTAAAGTAGAGACACTACATATTGATATACACCTGAACATCAGCAGGAGAGGACTCTTTAAAGTAGAGACACTTGATATACACCTGAACATCAGCAGGAGAGGACTCTTTAAAGTAGAGACTCTACATACTGATATACACCTGAACATCAGCAGGAGAGGACTCTTTAAAGTAGAGACTCTACATACTGATATACACCTGAACATCAGCAGGAGAGGACTCTTTAAAGTAGAGACACTACATACTGATATACACCTGAACACCAGCAGGAGAGGACTCTTTAAAGTAGAGACACTACATACTGATATACACCTGAACATCAGCAGGAGAGGACTCTTTAAAGTAGAGACACTACATACTGATATACACCTGAACATCAGCAGGAGAGGACTCTTTAAAGTAGAGACACTACGTACTGATATGCACCTGAACATCAGCAGGAGAGGACTCTTTAAAGTAGAGACACTACATACTGATATACACCTGAACATCAGCAGGAGAGGACTCTTTAAAGTAGAGACACTACATATTGATATACACCTGAACATCAGCAGGAGAGGACTCTTTAAAGTAGAGACACTACATACTGATATACACCTGAACATCAGCTGGAGAGGACTCTTTAAAGTAGAGACACTACATACTGATATACACCTGAACATCAGCAGGAGGGGACTCTTTAAAGTAGAGACACTACATACTGATATACACCTGAACATCAGCAGGAGGGGACTCTTTAAAGTAGAGACACTACATACTGATATACACCTGAACATCAGCAGGAGAGGACTCTTTAAAGTAGAGACACATACTGATATACACCTGAACATCAGCAGGAGAGGACTCTTTAAAGTAGAGACACTACATATTGATATACACCTGAACATCAGCAGGAGAGGACTCTTTAAAGTAGAGACACTACATACTGATATACACCTGAACATCAGCTGGAGAGGACTCTTTAAAGTAGAGACACATACTGATATACACCTGAACATCAGCAAGAGAGGACTCTTTAAAGTAGAGACACTACATACTGATATACACCTGAACATCAGCAGGAGAGGACTCTTTAAAGTAGAGACACTACATACTGATATACACCTGAACATCAGCAGGAGAGGACTCTTTAAAGTAGAGACACTACTTACTGATATAGACCTGAACATCAGCAGGAGAGGACTCTTTAAAGTAGAGACACTACATACTGATATACACCTGAACATCAGCAGGAGAGGACTCTTTAAAGTAGAGACACTACTTACTGATATAGACCTGAACATCAGCAGGAGAGGACTCTTTAAAGTAGAGACACTACTTACTGATGAAAGGATAATAAGAAAGTGCCCCTTCAAAAACGGAGGTCAGGTCGACATTTAAATACAATTAAATGAATAAAAACAGATAATACTGACATAAACCTGAACATGACATTAGTAGGGCCTCTTTACATTAAAGATACACGTTTTTTTGAATAAGTGTGGTGTCCCTGTCAACAGGAAATCCTCACTAACTGTTTGTATTATCCATGAAATCGTGCATAGAAATGTTTGTTTAATCTGTAAACTAAACATGTTTTTTTTTTGCTTAAAGGTCCCATGTCATGGCCATTTCTACTGATCATAACTCCATTGTTGAGGTCTACTAGAATATATTTATATTGTGCAATTTCCAAAGTCACATTGGTTTCTCATCCAGCATCTCTGTATAGTATGTGTATTCACTCTCTGTCCTAAACGGCTTGGTGGAGCTCCTGCCCCGTCCTTATTATCCATTTGCCTCTTTGATCAAAACGTATTGCTTTAAAGACATCGATCAGTTTTATTCATACCTGTTATGATGAAAGCTATCCCACTTTAATACTATTTTACACTTTATTGCTATCTTGTATACAAACTGAATATCTACTCCTGTATATTTCAATATTATTAGACTTTGTGTGTTTGCTTGCCTTGCTGGAATCCCCTCCAAACACTGCGATGTTTCTTTGGACCCAGAGTAGAGCTGCCTGCTGGTCCAATATTCCATAATTCCCTGCAGCTGCTGAAAGAGGGTTTTTGCCCGACACGAGGAACCCAAAAGCACCTTAAAGACACGCAGAAATGCACATGATCAGCGGGACATCATTGACACCAGCAGGACATTAATTAACTCTGAGTTCCACATATATATTTTCTGACCCCTCCCACCCAGGTAACCATGTCTTCCAACTTTTGCCCTCAGGGAGGCGCTACAGGTCACTGTCCACCAAAACCGCCCGCTTCAAAAACAGCTTTTTCCCCTTTGCAATACGGACACTAAATGGACTCTAACCCCAATGAACAATAACAATCCACCACACCTTGAACTTTATGTCTTATGATATGTCTTTGCCCTGTGCTGTGTGTTGTACTTTTTATTGTCTGTTTATTGTAAATTGAATTGTATGGAACAAGCTGTAATACTCTGCACCGAACACGAATTCCACCAGCCTGGCTGTGTGGTCATTAAAGATTATAATCTAATCTAATCTCATGCAGGACAGCAGAGTGATTACAAATTGGGTTATTTTGACCACAAGCTCATTATTTACTCTTACTGTATGTCTACCACGAGTTGCCTGCTTGTTGCTTTTACAAAGAAATCCCTACTTTATCCCGGTATATAGGCTACAGTAGAAGAAAAGCCCTTGAAGGACAGAATAATTGCTAAGTATTAACATAAGATTATTCTGTATAATGCAAAATGTGTCATTGCACAGAGTACTTAAACCATAGTTAGCATCTAACAAGTTCTGCAAAGCCCTTTTTTTAATAGTATAATATAAGAATATACAGGTGACAGATATAAAAACGTCAAAGAACATACAGTATGAACAGTTAAGGGTAAGAGCACCATAAACATTAGTACAGGAGTATTTTTCATACATGTTAGACATGTAAGGGTATATAGTAAATGAATGTATATTAATATATGTATTATTGAGTACACATGTATATTTCTGTCTGTACGAAGTAACCTCTCTGCATCCTCCCTCCAGCAGGTACATTTGAGTCCTTTGAAATAATTGCTTACACATTATCTGAGGAGTCGACAACAGGAAGTGATGTAATATCTGTCTATTTGTGGTTTTGCAGAATGTCTTAATCCTGGTTTGTCTTGCAAGTAAAACAGGTCAAACACAACAACAAGTAATGCTATTGTAAAGTGTGCATGTAACAGTGCTTCCACTATTATTGCACATGTGTTACAAACTTTACACGCAATACAAAGGGAATAACTCAACATGTCGTACCCAGTCTGTACTCCAGGCTCACCACCACAGTGTGTGTGAAGTTGCTGATGAAGCGTCCGTCGTACAGAGGCTTTGAGGCCGATCCGGCGATGAAATCCCCCCCGTGGATCCACACTAAGACCGGGAGAGGGACCTCCAGAGGAGACAGGAAGTCCACATCCAGAGGCACGAAGACGTTCAGGTACAGACAGTCCTCACTCACCTTTCATGGAGAAAATAATCATTAAAGGTCACCTATTATGCAAAATCCTCTTCTTCATGTCTCTTCTACATCAACATGTGTCCCCTCTTCTTCATGTCTCTTCTACATCAACATGTGTCCCCTCTTCTCCATGTCTCCTCTACATCAACATGTGTCCCCTCTTCTTCATGTCTCCTCTACATCAACATGTGTCCCCTCTTCTTCATGTCTCTTCTACATTAACATGTGTCCCCTCTTCTTCAAGCCTCTTCTACATCAACATGTGTCTCCTCTTCTTCATGTCTCTTCTACATCAACATGTGTCCCCTCTTCTTCATGTCTCTTCTACATCAACATGTGTCCCCTCTTCTCCATGTCTCCTCTACATCAACATGTGTCCCCTCTTCTTCATGTCTCCTCTACATCAACATGTGTCCCCTCTTCTTCATGTCTCTTCTACATTAACATGTGTCCCCTCTTCTTCAAGCCTCTTCTACATCACCATGTGTCCTCCTCTTCTTCATGTCTCTTCTACATCAACATGTGTCATTCCAACATGTGTCCCCTTTCTTCATGTCTCTTCTACATCAACATGTGTCCCCTCTTCTTCATGTCTCTTCTACATCAAACATGTGTCCCCTCTTCTTCATGTCTCTTCTACATCAACATGTGTCCCCTCTTCTTCATGTCTCTTCTACATCAACATGTGTCCCCTCTTCTCATGTCTCTTCTACATCAACATGTGTCCCCTCTTCTTCATGTCTCCTTCTACATCAACATGTGTCCCCTCTTCTTCATGTCTCTTCTACATCAACATGTGTCCCCTCTTCTTCATGTCTCTTCTACATCAACATGTGTCCCCTCTTCTTCATGTCTCTTCTACATCAAACATGTGTCCCCTCTTCTTCATGTCTCTTCTACATCAACATGTGTCCCCTCTTCTTCATGTCTCTTCTACATCAACATGTGTCCCCTCTTCTTCATGTCTCTTCTACATCAACATGTGTCCCCTCTTCTTCATGTCTCTTCTACATCAACATGTGTCCCTCTTCTTCATGTCTCTTCTACATCAACATGTGTCCCCTCTTCTTCATGTCTCTTCTACATCAACATGTGTCCCCTCTTCTTCATGTCTCTTCTACATCAACATGTGTCCCCTCTTCTTCATGTCTCTTCTACATCAACATGCGTCCCCTCTTCTTCATGTCTCTTCTACATCAACATGTGTCCCCTCTTCTTCATGTCTCTTCTTCATCAACATGCGTCCCCTCTTCTTCATGTCTCTTCTACATCAACATGTGTCCCCTCTTCTTCATGTCTCTTCTACATCAACATGTGTCCCCTCTTCTTCATGTCTCTTCTACATCAACATGTGTCCCCTCTGTGGAAAGAGACTCTGAAAGTTTCAGGAACAAAGATTCTCTCTCTTTTTGATCCATTTCTATAAAAACCTGTCAGAAAATGAGCTGATCAGATTTTGGCCACTTTATGATGTCATAACGATGTTTTGTCTCGTGTACCCATTAGCCAATCAGCAACCAAGGTACCCCCCCCCCCCCCCCCCACTATCACCTGAATCTCCTCCTAGAGCACCATTGAGTTCTTTGTAACCAAATGTCTCTCAGAGGGGCGTGGGGAGGGGCTCCTTATTTTTAATCTAAAGTAACAGACAGAGAATCAGCACTTTGGAAACAGGGCTGAAACAGAGGGGATTATGGGTAATGCTGCAATGATCTGTTTGGTGTTTCAGCCAATCAGAGACAGGCTCTGGATATATCTGAGACCTGTGATATATTGATGAAAAACAGTACAATAGGGGACCTTTAAGTTAGTCTTTAAAAATCAATGTTTAGGGGGTTGTAACTTGCTACTCTGGCAGGCTAAACTATTCCATTGTTGTGTTTTTTTTACTAACCATTTAATAGGTAACTGGTCTTTGATGCACCAGTAGATTCTGAGTAAAATACGAACCATCTAAAATTCACTAGGTTCTTGTTTTTGGTAAAAACAGAGCCACATGCACGAATACACACTTCCATTTTTTATTCAAAACCATTACAGCTAAACTAGCCGTAGCTAACTAACTTGTTAGCAAATTAGCTTTCCTTCTACGCCTTAAACATTATACAGTAATTGCAGTGGTGCAATGTAATGAAGTACATTCACTCACAATAAAAAAAAACACAATATATCTGACTTTGAAAGTGTTTTCAGGCCCTTTTCTGTCCATTATGTACAACTGTACTCACTGTAAGTCACTTTCCATCAAATTACCACAAAATCAAAAATCATTTTACTACACCCTAAAAGGAAATGTAACAATGTTGTTTCTTACCTTCCTGGGACACTCCTCAGAGATGGGTCCGCTGCAGGCCTGCATGCATGCGGCTCTGGGGAAGGAGGCATCATAAACCCCCGGCCAAGGACTCACAGGTCTGGGTGGTTTCCAGCGATAAGCCCCAACAGGAGGATCTGCGTACGGGATCCCATAGAAGATACGGGCCTTGTCCACCGTTATCCCTTTGATCTGTCCATCCTTTGTCGTCACCACAGCTCCAGAAGCCCCGTTACTATCCTGGCTGACTGCTTTTACATTGGGTTGCACCTCAGATCGTCCTACAAAGTCTCTTTTGGGGATGAACGGCTCTTCCTTCACAAGCATCCCAGGGTAGATACTTCTCAAAAAGCTGGCAAGGTCGAAATCATTATTTTTCGAATTCTCCACAGGGGTTAAACTCAGCAGAAGCAGAAACAAACATTGCCAGATCTCCATGTTGCGTTAAAATACTTCTGCTGCTCAGATTACATTTGACTTGAGTAGCAAAAGGTTTGAAAAAGTTGCATCCCCCACAAACCTGCAGTAGGAAACTCTCCACAGATTGTTTTCCATACTTGTGACTCCAATTTAGGGAGTCGCTAGTTAAGATTTAATCAGACAAAAGCTGCACTGTGTGATGCTGAGTGGAGTCCGGTGAGAGGATGATGAAGGAGCGCTAATGGAGGACCACTCGTCTTCTCTTTGCTTAATGTAATCACAAAGTCAAACACAGAAGGTAAATGGGGAAACTGCAGCAGGCTTCATGGAGAAAAATGTGTTTTAATCAAACTTATACTCAGGTTTATCGGGTATTATTTACGAACTATTATGTACTATGATAACGTGCTATTACAGTACGTATCTGCCACTACGTTTTTTTTCACTACTAAATACTGGTATATACTGGTACTATACTAAATACCATCTATGTTTCCTGTAGATATTCAATTGCTCTTTTTAAGGCACTGTTAGTGTACAGTTTTAGAACTAAGTCTGCATTTAGTTGAAATCCTGTAATATTACATATATATTATGTAACATGTATTACTTCACCATAATAAACATGTTAATGGTTTACTGTGTATTTTGTTCCCTGAATAACAGATAAATATAGTTAGTACGGTGGCCCTGAAGTGCAAGACACCACAGCATTTCACAAAACGCCACAGCGTTTCACATTGGACGGAAAGGGTATTCCTTAGGGAGAACACTTATTGTTTGTGATTGGACAGAGCCAGCCAGAGAAGCACTGCTGTGATTGGTTGTTTTGGCTGCCAATCAAGAAATGACGCTTCGTGATTGGCCCAACAAATCAGCCGTTAGCTGTTAGCACACACTCAGAGCTCCTCATATCTGTTCAGAAACTGGACAAAAGTTAAAGATATACAAAACACAGACTGTCTATGTCATGGCGAATACAGTCGCTGCTTTATTTATGTCTGTATAACGTTGTTGTGAGTGTGGACGGAGCAGCTACAGGTTAGTTTAGCCTGATCGATCCGATTCCGATAGGAGTTACATGGAGATACGCCCCGCCCCCTCTCCAGCGTCTTTTTTGAATGACAGGAGTAAACACATAATTAATGCTTTATTAATTCATGGTTTTTAAGGGGCTTATCTCCATGTAAATACTATGGTAGACTACCCAATATTCGCATCGCTCTAATCGCTCGAGTTTCACCGCGGCTGTCAGCTGTGTTTGCTCCTGTCATTCAAACAAGACGCGCTGGAGAGGGAGCGGGGCGTATCTCCAAGTAAATCCAATGGGAGATACCAACTACAACAAAATGAACATATTTGACCGTGATTTAATTGTAATACACGTTTCAAAGTGATGCCGAAGTAACTACATACTGATAACGGTTAGTAAAAACCATGAATTAACGCTTTGACAAGTCTGCAGACAAGACGGCAGGCGAAAAGCTTTTAAAATGCGTGTTTTCTGAATAGAATCGGATCCATCAGACTAAAGTTTAAACTAACCTGTAGCTGCTCCGTCCACACTCACAACAACGTCATACAGACATAAATAAAGCAGCGACTGTATTCGCCATGACATAGATAGTCTGTGGTTTGTACATGTTTAACTTTTGTCCAGTTTCTGAACAGATATGAGGAGCTGTGAGCTGTGTGCTAACGGCTGATATCTTGGGAGGGACCGGTTGGGACATATTTGGCTCTGTCCAATCATAAACAAGAAGTGTTCTCCCCAGGGTCGGCTCTAGAACAAATCGAATGGAGGGGCAATCATTTACCAAGGGGGGGCACACACTGCCGTCAACAACCAACACACAAACACCAACGCAACTTCAAAAACATGCTGTAAAGTCTATTGTCTTTCACACACATTGCAGGGTGTAGTGCTATTTTATAGCGCACCTATGACTTGTGCATGCATGCACGGTTGTGGCACGACCACCAAAACAGAAACATATGGACATAGGCCACGATATAAAAAGTGTGCAAATGTATTTAGTATCCTATCCATGTGAACATGTTTTAGGTGGGGGTGGACCTAACCTCCTCTAGGAGGGTCCGGGGGCATGCTCCTCCGGGAAGATTATTTTTAAAATATTGAAGTTAAATGCATCAATCTGGTGCACTTTGAGAGCAAAATGAAGAGATCTATGGATAGCCTACATCTCTCAGCATCCAAATGAAACAGAACTGTACACAGATTTACTTTTTCTTTATGGATATTTTACTAATCACTCCCCTTTTAAACTGTATTCTTGTGTTACTGTCCTATAGTATTTCATACCCGTTTTTCATTTATTCTCTTATTTTTTAATAACTATAATGATCATATAAAGGTGTTCCTCGCAAATACTTGTTTACATAAATGGTGACCAAACCGTTTGAGACCCACTGAGATAACTTACACTAAAGTGAACTATCTAAACACTGAGAGAGTCCTTACCTCACTGAGCTGAGGTTATACGATCCTCTCAGTCTGACAGGAGAGAACTCTCCTCCACCTTGGTGTAGAAACAGCTCTTTATATCCGTTAGCATAGCTAGCTAACCAGATGCTAACAACAACATTCCACGTTACCGCTCGCGCACTCACAAAATACGCTCGTGCCACACACACACAGAGCCGAGCTTGAATGAAACACAGAGACCCAGAAGTAGGCTACTTGTACTGTACTGTATATCATATTATTTTCGATGGCTTTACTGTATAATCAGTGTAACAGATGGACAGATCGCCACCGGGCTTTCATCTAAACACACAGCCACGTAATGATAACAAAAAAAAGTCGGGGGTCATTGGTCAAGCAACACACCAATCAGAGAGCAGCAGTGAGCACAGCTCAGGCTGTGTTTTATATTTGTATTCTTTATTTCTGATGTATTTCACACAAAAAACCTTTAGTGGAAACGTTTTTACTTATATGATTAAAAAAAAAAAAACCGGCAAAGTGGCAAGGCTTGCCCACCCTGCGTTGGGGGGGCACAGTGACTCATTTGGGGGGGCATGGCCCGCGAATGACCCCCCATGACGCCGACCCTGGTTCTCCCTAAAGGAATACCCTTTCCATCCAATGTGAAATGCTGCTGCGTTTTCTGAAATGCTGTAGCGTTTTGTGAAATGATGCTGTTTTTTTTTTTAAATGCTGTTGTGTTTTGTGAAATGCTGTGGTGTTTTGCACTTCAGGGCCACCGTAAGTTAGCTACATTCTAGCATGTTGTAATTGTAAATAGTACCAATCCTTGTACCAACCCCATCCTTGAAAATGTAGGATTAGCACCAGAATCAAGATCCTAGGTGGTCTAGATCCAAAACTACTGGTAAAATAACAACCAATGGCGCCATTGGACACATTTGCGATGGCCCTATAGCCAAAAATCTTCCTTAGGGCATGCTCTAACAGTGTGCCAAATTTCATGTTTTTATCATCAAAAGCACAATTCTTTCACATATCTGCTGGACTACATAGCAGTGAGACTCAAGATTCAAGGTAACTTGAACAGATCTGGCCTTTCTACAGATCCGATCATCATGCTTTGTTGAAGTTGCATGGTTGAAATGGTTCAATGGCGTGGAAGTGCAAATTGTGTGCTGTCTCGTCAGACACCCGGGCTCAGTTATTTAGGCACTATCGTTTGAAGCATAGCCAGTACTCAAGAGTTAGCCCTTTGCAATGTGTCTATGACTCTTGCATTTCTTACATTTCAATCATTTATCATTGCAGGAAATTGAGAAAAGGGAGAAGAACCTCATCTTGATAGAAAAGCTCATGGAGACGACTTTTGCCCTTCTTCGCCAGGAGATCGTTCAGGAACATCCCTTGTGTGGCCGGCCCTCCGGATGGAATCACAGGTAAAACAGACGCTCTCAGACGTCTTTCTCTTTTCTGCCCCTTGTCACATCTTCCCAATTTTGCTTGCAAAAACTGCCTACTTTGCACATAATGGAACAGTGTTGTTGTTCAATGTTAATATATTATAAAACAATATTTATTTTTATAATATAAATAATAATACAAATTAAAACTGCGGTCGCACTTGTGCGCGCAGTGATGAGCGGGCCCTCGCTTCCGTGCGCCTGTCGGGGAGGGCAACCGGTCGTCCCGGCGTCAAGCAGACGCGCGCGAGTCCTGGGAAATGAGCCGTTTCTCATTTCTATAATTTTCGCGTCCCAGACTCCGAGGTCCTCACTTTGAATATGATCATGTTGCAATATATTTTTACGGAAACAACAAAACAGGTTGCATCATGTTGTAGCAAGGGGTGGTCTGACACCCACCTCGGCTCCGCGTGTCCTTTTGATGAGCTGGGTCAAATCATAAAAGAAGGAATTCAAAGCACCAGATACAAGCGGCCGAGATGGGTTTTCTCCGCAGGGTGGCTGGTGTCTCCCTTAGGGATAAGGTGAGAAGTTCGGTCATCAGGGAGGGACTCGGAGTTGAGCCGCTCCTCCTTCGCGTCGAAAGGAGCCAGTTGAGGTGGTTCGGGCACCTAGTTAGGATGCCACCTGGGCGCCTCCCTAGGGAGGTGTTCCAGGCACGTCCAGCTGGGAAGAGACCAAGGGGTAGACCTAGGACCAGGTGGAGGGATTATATCTCTTCGCTGGCCTGGGAGCGCCTTGGGATCCCCCAGTCAGAGCTGGTTGATGTCGCCAGGGAAAAGAAAGTTTGGGGCTCTCTGCTGGAACTGCTACCCCCGCGACCCGATCACGGATAAGCGGGAGAAGATGGATGGATGGAGATACAGGGTTAAACAATAATCTGTTTTAATGATAAAAGGTAAGAATACAATACACTTTTAAAAGGGGTAGGCCCACCCCTGCTCTGGTCCTAATGCCGGGAGAACTCATCATCTTGACGGCAGGAGGAAAGAGAGGCCGAACACACAGACACAACAGGAGATATATAAGATTTCACTTCGGGGCGAGCTAGCCAGTGAGTTGGCAGTTCTCCATTGGCCAGTTTCACTTCTGGGCGAGACCCTAGACAATGAGTATTCCATCTGTTTCGCCCCCTCTTCTTACAGTGTGTGTGTGTGTGTGTGTGTGTG